AAAGTAACAATAATGCTGATGATAATAATAATAATAGTGCACATTATCTGAGAATGTGATCTGCATATTTTAACCTGAATTGTTGTTTATAGAAATATCAGTGATTGAACTTTCTTCTTGTTGTTTGTTTATCACCATATTCTTAGCATTCTTTATTACCTAGTAAATGTGATATAAATCATAATTATTAATAAGGAATGCCGCTTTCTATTCATACAGTCACATGACTGATAATCACTGACATACACATTGTGTAAAGAGAGAATGTACTGAAGACAAATAGTTTTTTTCCATCATTCCCTAGATGGCCTTACTTCATCTATGAATGAACACTGTAATCACATACCATCTTATTTCAAATGAGTTTAGTATTCTTATAGGGTAATCTAGTTTACACGTCGTCATTTCGTCAATCTATGAAACTATCATTATTCATACTAATGCTATTAGTCACGAATAGTTGATGCATCCCATCTGCATTGGCTATGAGACCATAGCCATTCATCTTCATGACATAATCCACATCACGTTCTGTTTATCGTCTTCTATCGATCACTGATATAGCTAAACTAATCGATACCCAACATTCTGGGAAAGAAGTACATGTTAAACAAATACAATCCATTCAAGATAATATGATCCCATTGGATAATATTTTCTTTGAAATCACTTCAATCATGTTTTCTTGTTGCCAAACACATGATAGTGTGTAATAATGTATAGATATAAAAGATGAGTGTCTATCTCTTTGACTATCAACAATTAACTTCAAAAACGAATGAAGATGTTTCAGTGAAGAGAATTTTCTTCTTGATCAACTCAATTTTTAAGGCTGGACAATCTTATTGATAGGTGATTTTATAAGCATATAGTTCTAGTGTGGTCTACTTATATCCATATAAGTAGTGTATGTTGATGGTTAGACATAGAATGTTTTTTGGCAGAAGATCGATAAGGAGCGAACAAGAATGAAGCGCAATCGGTACGAAAATACATGAACAATAATAATCGAAGAAGGTGGACTGACTTTTGCAGAAGGAACAGTTAGGATTGTAACAATTGATTGTTATTTTACAAATTAACTATTTACTGTATGGTTATCAGAATTTAGTGAAATAGTCTGTAATTTCTGCTTTAATACATTTGATTGTGATAAGATGGTGGTTGGAGGTGGTCAACAGGAAACCCTGGCCACGGGTTTCGTGCTGCTTGGCACTCGTCAGCAAGGTGTACCTGTAATCTTGAGGGAACTGGTTCTCGTTGACGGATCCGATCCCTTGTCACTCAGTTTCACGGTCAGAGACGTTACCAATGAGTTATTCGGGCCGCGACCAACCTTCTGTAGGACTGAGATGTAATCACAATTGATTGATTAATGGATGGTGATCAATGTCATGCGTGTCAAGTCCTTCTTAGCGTTGATCGAATGCTATCGATCAAGTTGCACCTCCAACCACCATCTTATCTCAATATATGTAGTGCACGCAGTGTCGAGCCACCTAGACTAGTGACAACATTGCAACTTGATCGATAGCATTCGATAAGCGCTAAGAAGAACTTGACAAGCATGACATTGATCACCACCCAGTGATCAATCAATTGTGATTACATTCGATTGTCCCCAACCGGTGTTTTGTAGTAAAATAGCTACGTTTGACCAAATTATCAAAGATTTTCAGACTCATTGTATGCATCCACTTAGTCCATTCTACTTCATTCCTCTTTGAGCCCCACTTCAATAAGTTTGGTTTTTATTTGATAATTTTGTGAAACTCGTCTATTTTACCACAGACTATCACATGCTTAACAAACCACCTATCAATACGATTGGACAGCTTCATAAATTGATATTGTCAGTAAGGAAATTTTCTTCACTGAAATGTCTTGATTCGATTTCCTCTCAATATCCATACTGAAGTAACTATTACTATGAATGATATGGAGGAACAAGGCGGGAAACCCAAATCGATCCAATTCAAAATAGATCTGTTTATATCAATATGATTTCATTTGGATCAAAATTATTCTATGTGAGCTATTATCAGGTTTGTGTATGAATGTGTATGCTGGTGGATCTATGAAATGTGGCATTTGGAATACAAAGAATTAGGGTGAGAATTCGAGTGTGTATGTTTGTGTGTGTGTGTGTTAATTTTGTGGTAAATATACAAGTACATATAGTTGTCTGAATTACTCAATATTGTTTCAATCATTTCATTTAAATAGTTGGAACAATGTATGCAGATTCATTTAGTATTGTTTGTTTGAATCTTCCCATCGATGTGTTAGGACTGCAACTGGTCAGTCTCTAATTGGCATATGTGCATACTATGCGTATTGCCTCAACATAGCCTTAATTCACGATCATAGTAAGCAGAGATGGATAGTGGCTAGCAGTGGAATCCAGGATGAGCGTTTCGTCCTATTTGGGACTCGCCAGCTGGGAGGATTCAAACAAACAATACTAAATGAATTCAAACTTCACCCCATCGTACAAACAAGTGGCTATCAGGACTCAGTGGCCGAGTGGATAACGCGATGGCGTTTGAAGCGAGCGTACTGGGTTCGAGTCCCAGAATGAAAATCAACAGGTCTGAAATGCAGGTACATCCAGCTGACGAGTCCCAAATAGGACGAAACGCGCGTCCTAGATTCCACTGCTAGCCACTATCCATCACTGCTAACAGTGTATATAGATGTATGAAATCAGCTAACGAGGAAAAGGAAAACGAACATGTCAGTATAGTGTACAACACCTAACATTCACTTCAGTCTGCATGGATTTCATTTCGTTAAGCTTTTCAATTCACTCTTTCTACAGACAGTGTTGTTCCACCAATGTGTTGCAAATTTAAGTCCAGTCAACGTATAGCCTAGAAACCAAATCTTTTGATCACTGAGACGCGATCCATATGTTTTCATGTGAAAATTCGATCAATTTTGTACAACCTCATACCACATTGCTTTTTTTGTTTTTGGAAAGCTTAAGATTGTTTACAACGTTTTCAATCAGAAATATGAATGAGAATACTAGTCATTGACTAGGCGAAATTAAACAACCTGTTCTTCACAGAGTATATTTTCTATATAAAGTATTGTAGAAGTTTTATAACTTTACTTCAGTACATGGATTCTCATGTATTGATATCTCGTTTTAACATAAGATTATTTACTTACTTCTGTAACACCCGGTAAGAGCATAGGCCACCGATCAGAGTTCTCCAAAACACTCTATCCTGGACCTCCCTTTATAGTTCTATCCAATTCTTGTTCATTCTTCTCATGTCTGTCTCCACTTCTCCGAGTAATGTGTTCCCTCGAATTCCTATTCTCCTTTGACATTGAGGGATTGCCTTGTAACGCAGTTGGGTGATTTCCCCAATGTGTGTCCTATCCACTTCCAACGTTTCTTCCTCATTTCTTCCTCCACTGGAATCTGTCTTGTTCTCTCTCACAGTAGAATATTGCTGATAGTGTCTGGCCAGTCGATTCAGAGTATTTTTGTAGAAAACTGTTAAGAAACACATGTATTTTCCGGATGATGGCTTTCGTAGTTCTCCAGTTTTACACCTCATACATTAGAACTGTCTTGATATTTGTATTGAAAATTTTGACTTTGGTGCTGGTTGACAATTGTTTTGAGTTCCAGATGTTCTTCAATTGTAGATATGCTGCTTCACATCTTCATCAGATCCACCGTGTTTATCAATGATGCTGTCCAGATATCTAAAGGCTTTCACATCCTCCACAGCTTCTCCATCAAGTGTAATTCAATTGATGCATGCTGTGTTGCATCGAAGAATCTTGCTTTCCCATTTGTGCATTTTGAGATCTACTGCTGCTACACTGGTCGTCTTCTCCTACATTTGTTGTTGCGTGTGCGATAGAAGATGCAGATTTTCGGCGAAGTGGAGATCGTCCAGCTGCATCCTACCTGTTCATTGTATACTATGCTTCCCTTCAGATGTTGATGCCTTCATAATCCAGTCGACCACCATGATAAAGAGAAAAGATGAGAGTAAGCAATCTTGCTGGACACCGGTCTTTAGTTCAAACGAGTCATTGAGCTGTCCTCCATGAATGACTTTGCGGTTGAACAAATCATATGAATTCCGTATGATGTTGACTATACTCTCAGGTACACCGTAGTGTCGAAGAAGCCTCCATATTGTTGTCCTGTCCACGATATCAAATGCTTTCTCGTAGTCAATGAAGTTTATGTAGAGTGAAGAATTCCATTCAATTGATTGTTCCACAGTGATCCGTAGAGTTGCGATTTGGTCTGTACACGATCGACTCTTAAGGAATCAAGCCTGTTGGTTTCAAAGTTTGGTGTCTATGGAGTACTTCATTTTGTTTAACATTACTCTGTTGAAGACTTTTCCTGGTATCGAACGAAGAGTGATGCCCCTGTAGTTATCACGATTTCTCAGATCGCCTTTCTTTGGTACTTTGATCAGACTTTTTTCTTTTCTGTCTGTTGGTACTTGTTCTTCATCCCAAATCTTACTGAATAGAATGTGGAGTATCTTTGCAATTGCTGCTATATCTGCTTTCAGTGCCTCTGCCGGGATGTTGTCTGGTCCTGCTGCTTTGCCGCTCTTGATTTGTCTAATGACCATGCTGATGTCTTCAATTGTTGGTGGTCAACCATCGATTAGGAGGTCCATGGGTGCTACTTTGATGTTAGGTGGGTTCAGTGGAGCTGGTCGATTCAAGAGTTCTTTGGAGTGTTCTACCCACCTGTTTGGTTGTTCTTCAATGTTGGAAAATAACTTGCCTTCCTTTCTTTTCACTGGTCTTTCTGGTTTACGGTAATTCCCAGCGGTTTTCTTTGTTGTATCATACAGTTGTCTCATGTTTCCCTCTCTTGCAGCCTTTTCCGCTGTCATTGCTAAGTCTCCCACATATTTACGTTTGTCGGTTCTGATTCTTCTCTTTCATTAATTGTTTACTTCTGTGTATTCGGCTTGTGCCTTGGCTTTTTCTGCTCTTGGTATATGCAAGTAGGTATAAGAAGACACTCTATTCAATACTTTATAATCTGTATCATACTCTTCATGAGCACTGTAACTGATTTACACTATTACATACACAGAAAAGTTTTCTTCTCATAATTAAACACTGGTCAATGGTATGGGACGAACAGTGTATCATTGAAAACAATAGTGATGTCGATGAATTCACGACCATAAACTGTGATACTCAAGGAAACAACATTTTATTTATTGTCAAAATCATTCTGAAGTAAAACAACGCAATTCTATTGTACCAAGAAGAAAACTATTTGTAAATATCATTCAGACACATATTTTCTCGAATTATTTCGTTAAAATTATGATTCAATTACTAAAGTACCTACTGTTATTCATTCGTCAAGAGTTCACTGTCAATGAACGGTATTATATTTCTCTTATTACAATCATTAAACACTTATATCTACATAACCGAACACATTTCTCCAAATGTCCTGGTACGGCCGAGAGTAGGGAGGGTCTGCTCTCCCTCTCTCTCCCTCAAAATGCTCTGACACGGCCACGTGCATACAACCTATACCATGGACGCCCTACTCACTGCCTTCGCGTGGAGTATATGCTGTTCACAAAATTGAGAGAACGAAAAGCAAATTTCCGGCGCGGTCTATAACCGGGTTGGTGGACACAAAAATTCCATCTATGGGAGTTGGAAAACTCTCATTCCAAATCAATGGTTCACATGGACTCCAGCATCCTAAGGAAACAAATGGCGTATGAATCAAATGTTGGTCAATGGCTACCATGAGACCACATCTCCTCACGATGCTCCACTGTCTTATGGATCAGATCTTTAGGTCAAAGGCTCCAGGTGTGGGCTTCTAAGTTAACCACCTGCTTCAGTTTAGGCAAATGGGCAGTATCCCAGCCCTCACATAAATCGAATGAGATTTGTGTGGCGCATATATATCTGATGCTCCCTTGTACCAATCTTTATATGTTCAAATAAATAAATATAATAAATCTACATGAACAAAAGCTCATTTGATACAATGTGTTTATTGTAATAAACTTCAAATATAAGATATAAGAAGGGTTTTTTATAGATATTATAGTAATTTTAAATTGTTGAGATCATGAATCAATTGAAACTAGATCATCATGGAAAACCTGGAAACACTGGACGACCGTTTCATCCTATTGTTGGACTCCTCAGTAGTGCTTATCCACGATCCCTCCTCACGAGATTCGAACCCAATCAAAAGAGTTTTTACTATTTTGATTTCAACCAATCAAATCAAAACAATGCATCATTCATTCATTCGCTTAATCAGTCGGTCAGTCAGTCAGTCACAACGTAGAACTTCGTACGTACGTACGTACAATATGAAGCATCATTTAATAGCCAAATAATAAATGGATTACATACCAACAAAAAATGTTTATTCATAAATAAATGAGCATATATTTTCAATGACAAAATTTTTTTTTATTTTTACATATTATGTAACCATATCCAATTAAGGGGGTTCATCAGTAGGCGGTTGAAGGATTTCAATTGATGATGGATAATTATCAGCTCATGTTCTTAAAAGTCAAGAGCAATATTGAATAATGATGAGTCCATCTAACATTATGATTGGTTAATAATCGAATGAGTAAGAAACAACGAAACACTTTTTTTTTTAAAAGAATCTATATAAACCTGAAAAGGTTACTAGTACTAGTACTATTACTACTACTACTACTGCTACTACTACTACTACTACTACTACTACTACTACTAATACTACTACTACTACTACTACTACTACTACTACTACTACTTTAAACAGGATGATGAGGTAAGTTTTTTTTTTTTGATGAAGGTTTGGTCTTTGAACTGAATAGTTCGGTCGTGGAGCTTTCATCATCTCTTGGAACGATATTATCAGTATAAACTACAGATAGAAGTGTTAGTTGAACATACTAAACGATCGTTCTGTGATTCAAGGTTTTTCATGATGGTCTAGCTTCAATTAACTCATGATTACAACTATGAAACTACTGAAATCTTGACACAAAACCCCATTCTGATTGTATTATATTGTAGTGAAGGAGAACACGAGTGAGGACAATCGAATGTATATATAGTGAATATAGTGAACAGTTGATTTGCAAAATAACAATCATTTGTCTCAATTTCACCGTTTCTTCTGTAAATATCAGTTCATTGTCTCTAATTATTATTGGTGATGCATTTTCGTATCAATTGCGTGCCGTTCCCGTTCTCTCCTTATTGATCTCCTACTGAAATACATTCTATGCCCAATCATTGTTATATACTACTTATGTGGATATCAGTAACCCATACCATAATACAAATTGAAATTGAATTCAATGAGTCAACTTTTTTTTGTTTGTTTTTGTTTATCTGAACTACTTTAGATACAATATATCATCCAATCTATCAATATCATTATTTCTGATCGTGATCTGGTTATACAGATCCTTCAATTGTATAGATATTTGCAAACATCCAGATCCCCAACATTATCATAGACAAGTATTTGAAAATGATACATATCATCTTGTAAGTAATCAATTAGATCCTAACAGATAGAATTAGTCTCTTCATTATAATTATTTACTTAGAATTAGTCGTCGTCCATTAGTTTTAAATGGTAACTTTCATCCATTCCCTCCTCCTCAAGTAAGTGACAGTATACTTATTCATATATATTTGAATTTGTTTAGCACATAACCACGAAATTCATATTTCCATATTATAATAACGATGTTGATCAAATTGTTATTTATCGTCATCGTAAGTCAATTAAGTTTTTTTTTTAGTTTTCTTGATCACATTTCTGTTTATGAATCCAAAAAAAATTGATCGGATCATTTCAGTGAGCAAATTGAATATATTTTAAGCAAAGATGGATAATGGTTAACAGTTGAATCATCGAGGACACGTGTTGCGTCCTATTTTGAACTCGTTAGTTGGATGTACCTGCATCTCACACTTGTTAATGTTCATTCTAGGACTCGAACCTCGTACCATTCGTTTCGAATGTCATCGCATTATTCATTTAGCTACTGAGTCCTGATTGTCACTTGCTTGTGCAATAGGGTGAAGTTTAAATTCACTTGGTATTGTTTGGTTAAATATTCCCATTGTTATTTAGGACTGCAATTGATCAGTCTCTTATTGAAATAAGTGCATACTCAGCATATTGCCTCTTACTTACTTACTTACTTACTTACTTACACCTTTTACTCGTCGTCGAGAAGCATAGGCCGCATATCAGCATTCTCCATCGAACTTTGTCCTGGGCAATTCTTTCCAGTTCTTTCCGGTTAACATGCATCCTTTTCATATCTGCTTCTATTTCTCGGCGTAGTTTGTTCTTTGACCTTCTTGTTTTCCATTTCCCTTACGGATTCTAAGTTAGGACTTGCCTCGTGATGTAGTTTGATGAAGTTTTTGATCCAGGATATACAATCAGATGCTGTTTTTCATTTCTCTAGAAGTTAGAAACATTTGAAGTTGGATAGATTGATTATGATTTAGTAGGATTCAAACAAAATAGCTACTCATATAAACTAAAATAGAGATTTATGAATATATTACCTAATTTGTAGAGTATTTCATTGATTAAGAACAATAAGAAATTACAGATTGGTTAAAAGATAAACTAAGCTAACTAGTGTACAACCAACAAGTTGACTCTATAATTTACTCTAACATATAGAGAGAAATGTGAAATATGGAATGATAGTTGAGAATGGAGAAAATTACAAGTGAAATCATCTATCCTTTGTTTTCCATCTTGTATCCAATGGGTTTCGCTGATTCCAAGTACTACCAATTTGTATCTCTTCATTCCCATTGCTTTTTGACTGGTTTTCCCTGTATCCCACATTATCCGAACATTCCATGTACCTAGAAAGAGTAATACTGTGATTGTTAGAAGATGCATCGGCCTTGTGACTTCCGAAGAATCTCAGCTTTCATCATGAGACGTCATAATTGTTCCTTCAACTCCCAGGACAGTTTAAATGATTAAAATTTTTTTTCTGGTTAGCGTTTTTTTAGCGATTTAGTTTTCTACAGGATGGGGTTGTTAACCCCATACTCAATCCTCCTCCTTTACCCAGGCTTGGAACCGGCAGTAGCCCTCAGAGGAGCTACAGGCGGAGTTGCATATTGCATTAATATAGCCTTAATTCACAAGCATTATAAATAACGATGAATAGTGTCAAACACTGGAATGCATGATGTACGTTTCGTCTAAGAATGAACAACAACAAGTCTGAGATGCAAGTACACTCAGCTGAAGGGTCCCAAATTGGACGAGTTTATTTCAATTTCTTTTTCTTTTTTTTTCTTTCTTTTTTATTCATTAAGGAGGTAAAGGTTTAATAGAGATATTCAATGATAAGAAATTTGGAACAATTTCAAATTATATTAGATTTTTCTCAAAAGTTAAACTTAAAATATTCAGTGATGGTAAGTTCTTATATCTTTGAAATGATAATATTCGATGAGATTTTCTCAAAAAAAAAAAGATGATTGTGTGATGTGGGCTACTGATATCCACATAAGTAGTATATAACAATGGTCAGCCATTGAATGTATTTCAGTAGAAGATCAATAACGAAAGAACGCGGAACAAAACGTCATTGATATGAACACGCATGAACAATAATAATTAGAGATGATGGACTGATATTTACAGAAGGAACTAATCCAATAGAAGTTCGATAAGGAAAGAACAAGAACGGGATGTCATTAGTATGAAACTGCATGAACAATAATAATTAGAGATGATGAACTGATATTTACAGAAGGAACTAATCCAATAGAAGTTCGATAAGGAAAGAACAAGAACGGGATGTCATTAGTATGAAACTGCATGAACAATAATAATTAGAGATGATGGACTGATATTTACAGAAGGAAGGTTGAAGATTAAGACAATTGATTGATAGTTTACAAGATTAATTATTTACTATATGGTTTTCATATTTTAGTTAGATATTCTATAATTTCATGCCTAAATACATTCGATTGTCTCCGCTTGTGTTCTTGTTCACTACGATTGAACATTTAACTACACCAGTTCATTTATATTCACAAATGAAAATGATAACTTATATGCAAATGCAATCTATGTTAAAACGTACATGTATTGAAACATAAAGGTATTCAGTGGTCTAGATGTTAAGCGCTCGTGTGCGAAACTGATAGGTCCTGGGTTTGAATCTCATGAGGTAGGACAGTGGATGAGCACTACTGAGGAGTTCCATAATTGGACGAAATAGCCGTCCAGTGTTTCCAGGTTTTCTATGATGGTCTAGCTTCAATTGATTCATGATCTCAACTAGTTAAATTACAAAGATATTCATTATTCAATTGATATTTAACCATTTATTTTGATCTTGATTATTTCAGATAAATTATTCGCTGTCAAATCATCTTTTATGGAAAAAGTTAAAAATAAAGGTAAGTAAAACATTGAATGGTCATTTGTTTACATGTATGAAATGTTTTTCCTTACACCTTCATTCATTGTTTAATTTGAACAAATCAAATCATTTGAAGACTGACAACAGAAAGAAGGTGTGTATCCACGATCCCGCTTCGTGAAATTCAAGCCCATGACCCATCAGTTTCGCGCGCGAGCGCCTAAGCTCTAGAACCACTATGCTGGTCAAGAAGCCATTTTAGTACATAATACATTCATCTATACATTTATTCAACACATAATCATTCTTAAATATTATCTATTCAATTTAAGAAATCTTTAACACAATACACCTAAAGCTGTTGGCTTCTCATCGATAACAAATAAGCGCTATGATCAAAGTCAAATGATTGATTAATTTATTATTATTATTATTATTATTTTAACACATAAATATCGGTACAAAGTGGCATCATATATATATGCGCCACACAAATCTCATTCGATTTATGTGAGGGCTAGGATATTGCCCATGTGCCTAAACTGAAGCAGGTGGTTAACTTAGAAGCCCACACCTGGAGCCTTTGACCTAAAGATCTGATCCATATGGCAGTGGAGCATCGTGAGGAGATGTGGTCTCATGGTAGCCATTGACCAACATTTGATTCATACGCTATTTGTTCCCTCAGAATACTGGAGCCCATGTGCACCATTGGTTTAGAATGAGGGTTTTCCAACTCCCCTAGATGGACTTTCTGTTTCCACCAACCCGGTTAAAGCCCGTGCCGGATATTCTCTTTTCGTCCTCTCACTTTCGTAAACAACACCCCCACCACGAGAATAGTGTGAGTGAGACTTCCCTATCAGAGGCTATATACACTTGGACATGTAAGAGTATTTCGAGAGGGAGAGCAGAGTCGCCCTAGTCTCGGCCGTACTAGGGCATTTAGGGCTCAATTTATCGATTAAACTATATATATGTTACGCAATGAATTGAATTCCCAAGTTTCATTTATAAATAAACACTCTAAAACCCATGTCATATATACTTGTAATCGATTGTTTTATGAGGTATTATAGAAGATATTGCGTACATGTAAATACCTCACCGACTATCAGATCTAAATGGAAACGTTATGGTTTATTGTTTCATGAACAATTTGAAAGTAACATGTCTTCAGAAACTACAAATCTGACATTTGATTTGAAGGATGAATGCTCATTTTTTTTTCTTTTCACAAGACGTCTATTGTGAATTCAACTAAAGAAAGTATTTGAGATAACACAGTAAATATCCATTGAAATCTGATCACTTTATGAGTAGGCATATTCAATGTTATATTTAACAATAACTTGCTCAGTATTTATCTTTCAAATTTTAAGTACCACTAGTCTTCTAATTGCAGAGATTACAGCCAAGATAACTAATGTGATATATCCTAATGGGAAGATATTATTCTATTATGAGAATGTAAGTTGTACAATTGCTTGGAAATAGAATTTTTTGTCAAATATATCAGATTCATGTTAATCAATACTATCAAATGTATCTAGTTACACTGAACATGATAGAAAGAGATCAACATTTTATAATTAGAAAGGGGTTTTGTGGAGATTTCAGTATTTTCATAGTTGAAAGCACAAGTCAGTTAAAGCTAGACCACCAGGGAAAACCTGGAAGTACTTGACAGCCGTTTCGTCTTATTATGGGACTCCTCAGTGACAGTGCGCATCCACGATCCCACTTCGCGAGATATCGAAACCAGGACCTATCAGTCTCGCTCGTGAACGCTTCAACTCTAGACCACTGGGCTGGCCGACATCCGACGGTGTTATCGCTAACTTCAACCAATCCATGAAGTTGAGCAACCGTTCACCAATTGTCTTCAGTGAGTGGATATCTCGCTACCGACGTCTTTGAACTCCACTGGTCATTGCTTCTCACTAGAACTCAAGGAAATATCTCTTGAAGTTAGTCACTAGTGAGCAAATGATTATGATCGTAAAGGCGTTTTGTGGAGAACTCAGTGTTTTCATAGTTGAAAGCATGAGTCAATTGAACCTCGCGAGGCGAGATCGTGGATGCCCACTGCCACTGAGAAGTCACACAACAGGAGAAAAAAGGGCTGTCCAGTTTATGTTTGACGAGACTGTTCGAAATGTGTAAAGCAAATACATCATACTTTTCAGATCAAATCCGTTTTCTAATTATTCTATCAAAATGAATTGGTTATCATACAAGAAGTTGTGTGTTGACAGATCTTCAATCAAACTTTAAATATGTTCTTTTTTAGATTCCCAAGGAAATTAAAATGAGAAAACGGGAATCGAAAATCACTGGTGATATAAAGTGTGAAACAGGTAAGAAACATTTCAACAAATTTTGATATACATTGACATACATCATCAATCATCTGTTTGCCTAGCCTAACTTAACCGGGTATCTCGAGTAAACACAACTAAGGTTCATGAATGTCTTTGTCGCAAAAGGTGTCGATGACTATTCGGAGACGTATAACACTTACGTTACTGATTGACAGATCGAGACAGGGATAATATGAATGTTGATATTAAGCAGACAATATATCCACTTATTTATTCACTCACTCACTCACAGTGAGACAGTCACATATGTAGTGTTTAGTCATATCTTCACTTTATCCAAAAATAAGTGTGTTTTGTATGAAGAGGTACATGGAACTGATATTTCCCTTATAAAATGCTCAATCGTCATGCTTCATTGAGAGAATCATGTATTGTTGAAAGATAAATCTGAGTTTTAAGAGAAGCGTTGAAGGAGAGTGATTAGATGTGATACAGTGTTTAATGATTGAACGTGAGTACATTAACTAAATGTTTGGTCGAATGGTACATGTTGATCGTTTGAATCCCAGCACTGGTGTTTAGGACAGCGATTGATATATATGTATCCTATGAAGATTGTCGCTACATTGCTTTAAATCATAATTATTGTGAGAAAAAAATGGATGGTGACTAGCATTGGAATCAATTTCAATCCTAAAGATCAATGTGAAGATGAAATAAACATTAAGAATATGAATCAAAACTTCATCTCCTTTTATAAGCCAGTGTATATATGAACTGAATAGCTAAGTGAATAAAGGGACGGTATTTGAAATGAATGGTACTGGATTTCAGTTTTAGATAGAACACTAACTTTGAAATTCATGTATATCCAGTTAAAAAACCCTCAAATTATAATGAACTATAGAGCTCCAATGATTGCATTGCTAATCACCATACTTCCTTAGTTTGCTAATTTTATTTATTTATTTATTTAAACACATAAATATTGGTACAAGGAAGCACCAGATATATATGTGCATACAAATCTCATTCGACTTGTGTGAGGGCTGTGATACTGCCCAGATGCCCAAACCGAAGCAGGTGTTTTTCTTATGGGCCCACACCCGGAGCCTTTGACCTAAAGATCTGATCCATAAGGCAGTGGAGCATCGTGAGGTGATGCATTCCTATGGTAGCCGGTGAGCAACGATTGATTCGTGCTCCATTTGTTCCCTCAGGATACTGGAGTCCATTTGCACCATTGGTTTGTAATCAGGGTTTTCCAACTCCCCTAGGTGGATCCTCTATATCCACCAACCCGGTTAAAGCCCGTGCCGGAAATTCGCTTTTTGTCCTCTCAATTTCGTAAACAACACCTTGATTGAGAGAAGGCAGTGAGTAGGACTTCCCTGGTAGAGGCTATATATTCGAGTGGCCATGTGAGAGCATTTCGAGAGGGTGAGCAGACTCTACTCACTCTCGGCCGTACCAGGGAATTTGGGGGGCAGTTGGGGGGCAGTTTGTTAATTACTATACTGTCTAACTGTATTTTGTAATGTTAATTAATTTTTAATAAGTTTAAAGTACTTTTTGGCACATATCGCACAGATTTCTGTGTAAAATAAATTCTGGTTAGCGTTTTTTGTTTAGCGAGTCAGTTTTATACGAGATGTGGTCGTTAACCCCATGCCTAACCCTCCTCCTTTACTCGGGCTTGGGACCGGCAGTAGCACTAGAAGAACTACAAGGTGGAGTTAACTTATTGGTTGAATATTGATCAATTTCGTAACTCACAGTAATATATACCATGATTTTTATGGATACTGAATGTTAACCATTATATCCGTTATGAAGACGTTTTACAGTTTCTTATTTAGACTACTCTTTAAATGGTTCAAACAACTTGTGATGTATACTTTTCTATTTCGATTTATCAAATCAGGTAATATGGTATATGAAATAGATGTTCCTGTTAAATGGATCAAAACTGGTACATTAGTGGAGTATGAACCCATAGGGAGTATGTTAAATCGTATTTATCGGAAAGGTTTTTGTGAAAAATTTAGTATTTTCATAGTTGAAATCATGAGCCAGTTGAAGCTAGACCACCATGGAAAACCTGGAAGCACTGGAATGCCGTTTCATCCTATAATGGGACTCCTCAGTAGTGCGCATCCACGACATTAACACCGCTCAGTGGTCTATCGGTTAAGTGCTCTGGCGCGAGACTAGTAGGTCCTGGATTTGAATCTCACTCAAGAGCCTGGATCGTGGATGCGCACTGCTGAGAAGTCCCACAATAGGACGAAACGGCCGTCCAGTGGTTCCAGGTTTTCCATGGTGGTCTAGCTTCAATTGACTTATGATTTCAACTATGAAAATCTTATTTAATCAACAAAAATTATTTTCACATTTGAAAATATATTTTATTCTTTCAATTACTCATTAAATGATACCATTTAATATAATTTTAACACATAAATATCGGTACAAAGGGGGCATCAGATATATATATGCGCCACACAAATCCAATTAGATTTATGTGAGGGCTGTGATACTGCCCATTTACCTAAACTGAAGCAGGTGGTTTTCTTATGGGCCCACACCTGGAGCCTTTGACCGAAAGATCTGATCCATAAGACAGTGGACCATCGTGAGGAGATGTAGTCTCATGGTAGCCGGTGACCAACAATTGATTCATACGCTATTTGTTCCCTCAGAATACTGAGCCCATTTGCACCATTGGTTTAGAATGAGGGTTTTCCAACTCCCCTAGATGGACTTTCTGTTTTCACCAACCCGGTTAAAGCCCGTGCCGGATATTCTCTTTTCGTCCTCTTAATTTCGTTAACAACAGTAATGCCACGAGAAGGCGGTTAGTAGGATTTCCTTGACAGAGGCACTAAATGATATCCAGTCATCAGTTTCAAATGACTTTTTATTAACCAATAATAACTACACATCGATTCATTGTTGAATATCAAATATGACAGAGAAACATATTTCTAACTAATATTAAAATCTTCATATTGATGAAATTTACTTAAATATATTGACACAAAAATATAGATGAGATGATAATAATCTGGAAAATGTTTAAGTGTGAGTGACTCGATTTTACATTGACGAGGAAGCGAACACTTTTTCAGTCGGTACACGTGATATCGAATTGCTTTGAGGCAACGAAATTGCGAAAACACGCTGTGAAAATCAAAATGACTGTACAATTTCTGAAATCTCCGCTTTCTCATGCATATCCGGTAAATTGAAGGTGTAGAGAAGTCATATTTGCAAATTACAATTATTCGTAGCTAGTTTTAGAACTACCACGTACCTAAGAAGATAGTCAATGTCATACGGGATTCATATGATGGATTAAACGGTGAAATCATGCATGGAGGACAGCTCAATGACTCGTTTGAACTAAAGACTGGTGTCAAGCAAGATTGCTTACTCTCATCTTTTCTCTTTATCATGGTGGTCGACTGGACTATGAAGGTATCAACATCTGAAGGGAAACATGGGATACAATGAACAGGTAGGATGCAGCTGGACGATCTCCACTTTGCCGAAAATCTGCATCTTCTATCGCACACGCAACAACAAATGTAGGAGAAGACGACCAGTGTAGCAGCAGTAGATCTCAAAATACACAAATGGAAAGGTAAGATTCTTGGATGCAACACAGCATGCATCAATCGAATTACACTTGATGGAGAAGCTTTGGAGGATGCAAAAACCTCAACTTATCTGGACAGCATAATTGATAAACACGGTGGATCTGATGAAGATGTGAAGCAGCATATCTACAATTGAAGAACATCTGGAACTCAAAACAACTGTCAACCAACACCATGGTGAAAATTTTCATTACAAATATCAAGACAGTTCTACTGCATGGGGTGTAAAACTGGAGAACTACGAAAGACATCATCCGGAAAATACATGTGTTTCTTAACAGTTTTCTACAAAAATACTCCAAATCGACTGGCCAGACACTATCAACAACATTCTACTGTGAGAGAGAACAAGACAGATTCCAGTGGAGGAAGAAATGAGGAAGAAACGTTGGAAGTGGATAGGACACACATTGAGGAAGTCATCCAATGCGTTACAAGGCAATCCCTCGATGTCAAAGGAGAATAGGAATTCGAGAGAACACATTACGCGGAGAAGTGGAGACAGACATGAGATGATTGAACAAGAATTGGATAGAACTATAAAGATAGGTCCAGGATAGAGTGTTTTGGAGAACTCTGATCGGTGGCCCATGCTCCATTGGGAGTAAAAGGCGTAAGTAAGTAAGTTTCAGAACTAATTTCACAGTGTGAAAATACATTCCTTCCCATGAATATGTACATTGAGTAACTATAGACAACTTTTGGTTCACCATGTAATAGACCATTAAAATACTTTTCTACTACTAAGAGAATGATTCCATGATCTAATGATAAGATAAATAAATGTTTCTCTCAGCATCGATGAACTTTCGTTGATCTAGTTTGTGTGGTGCATTAAGTGACGTTACGCAGATTGGAATGCGGCGGCTTACCTCTATATCTTCTATCATAGTTGGCGGACTGAGATCTTTTCAAGTAAATTGTCATTGATGTTTGAGAAAACAATGTCACCCTTCCTCTGTCGTTTGAATAAATTAACATAGTTGAAAATGAATTTTCAGTCTTAGAACAATTGAATTTCTTGACTTGATTTCAATCATAAAACTGATTAGATAAAAAGAAACTTTACAATCATCGAACATTCAAAGCATTGCTCTTTGCTGAACCCAATGACAGTAACGTGTGTATATGTTTTAATGTAAACAGCTTACTGAAATCTACCAAATTCACTTATCACAATTTATCGTTTATAACTGTTATTCAAAGTACTTACGTACCTACGCCTGTTACCCCTCGTCAAGGAGCATAGGCTACCTACCAGCATTTTCCATCCAACCCTGTCCTTGACAAACCTCACCAGTTCCTTCCAGTTGTTATTCTTCCTTTCCATATCTGTTTCTATTTTATGGGGTAATGTGTTCTTTGGCCTTCCTCTTTTCCGTTTCCTTTCCGGATTCCAAGTCAGAGATTGCCTTGTGATGCAATTTGGTGATCTCCACAGTGTATGTCCTATCCACTTCCAACGTCTTTTCCTGATTTCCTCTGCAGATGGAAGCTGATTTGTCCTCTCCCATAAAACACTGTTGCTGTTATTCAAAGTAGTTTCATTCAATTCAAACACGATATCGTAAAGCATGATTGAAATTGAAAATCTACTGAATAATGCATTATGGTGTATTGTGTTGTTAAATTTTCTAATGAATGAAACATTAACATAAATGAGACATTAACACCGTTGGATGCCGGCCAGTTCAGTAGTCTATCGGTTAAGGGCTCTGGCTCGAGGCTGGCAGGTCCAGAGTTCGAATCTCGCGGGTGCGAGATCGTGGATGAGCACTGCCACTGAGGGTGAAACGACCATCCAGTGCTTTCATGTTTTCCATGGTGGTCTAGCTTCAATCGACTTATAGCTTCAACTTTGAAGAATGAAACGATTACACAACTCTGAAATCACCAATATATCATTGGATTATTGTTACATGTATTGTAATTCACTTACATAACTTAGCATGAAATCACCAAATTCTTTTTAAAGATATTTGTCCAAAATACAATTCAATTGAAGAATGTCAATACGAAACAACATGTATTTGGTTGAAAGAAGGTAACATATGCATACCCAATAATGATAAAGATAAAAATCATTCGATAGCAAACGTATTGCCTATTCAGGTGAGTAATTGTGAAATATCATAGGTCGTTTTCAATATCACTAAATTCTACAAAAACGATGGCAAGAGATTACACGATAGAAAACTTTACTGTTACTATGAAAAACTCCCGTGAACACATTCAGATACGCCAGATAAAGATAACTTAACGGATAAAAGGATATTCCCACATTCATTGACATCATAAACAAAACAGATCAAATTGTCCATTGACAACTCATTATTCAATATGTGATTAGTTCACAAATCCAACATGAAACTGGATATCTATGTGGATTGTCACAAAATACCGAAGAAACTGGTTTAAATGAAGGATAGTAACCTATTGGAAATTGTGTATTATGTTTTAATATTTGGTGAGAGTATGTAGACTTTGATCTGTGAAGTGATGAACAAGCATTTGTGATTCTCTGTTACAAAATAAGTGAAGTGAATGGAGTAGTTGAATAAACCTGTCAATGATAAGTCTATTGATATACATATTGGGATCATGACGAGATTATGACATGCAGAACAGAAATTTTGTCACACACAAATGAGTCGTCAATTAGTAGTAGGATATTTTATACTCAGTACAATAATTATCATATTGGTAGTAGATGTTCCAAATGATTGTACAAATGCTAATTCCCTAACCAATTATTGAATTCTCTTCTATCATCATGACTAACAATAGTGTATAATGATTAATGAATTCAGTGAATAATATTTCACATTTATTAATGACTGTCATTGTTTGTTTTTTATTCAGAATAGTTCAGATGTTAACGTATTGAGTCCATCAACAACCATCAAACATAATGAAACAACATCGAATATGATTGAAGTTGAGGTTGTGAAAAAGCTGAATGGAACATCCGAAGAAACTGTTCAACACTCGGTAAATATTTGATATTTAATAATAAATGTTACTTTTTTGTTTTTCTTCAAAATATGACTACGTACACAAACAAAGAGAAACAACAGAAGAAGTCACCTCAGTACTTATATATTATGTTTCCTTTGTGATTCATCATATCTATTCAGATTTGAGTACAATAGCTTCTTTCCATGGAAATAGTAAACAACAGATAAATAGTGTGGAAAAGAAGATTGAGGAGCTGTAGCATAAGATTTTGGCATTACGAGTGAATCATTAAGAGGATAATATGTGTTACACTTGTGGAGGGACAGGAAACTTTAAGATATACTGTCCAACGAGAAGAAATCGGATATATTTTAAACGTTATAACACGTTGTTTTCTCTTCTATCATCATGACTGACAATAGTGTATAATGATTAGTGAATTCAATGAATAATCACAATTGATTGATCACTGGGTGGTGGTGCTATCGATCAAGTTGGAATATGGCCACTTGTCCTGGTGACTCGACACTGTTTGCACTATTTTGAGATAAGATGTTGGTTGGTGGTGGTCAACAGGAAACCTTGGACCGGGATTTCGTGCTACTTGGCACTCGTCAGCAAGGTGTACTTGTAATCTTGATGGAATTTAGTGAATAATATTTAAAGTTTATTCATGACTGTCATTGTTTTGTTTTTTATTCAGAATAGTTCGGATGTTAACGTATTGAGTCCATCAACAACCATCAAACATAATGAAACAACATTGAAGATGATTGAAGTTGAGGTTGAAAATATTCTGAATGGAATTTTCGGGGAAATTGTTCAACATTCGGTAAATATTTGATATTTAATAATAAATGTTGCTTCTTTATTTATTTTTTTTTTAGAATACAACTGCTGAATTTATTGAAAACCATCAATTAGTCAAACCTGCTATAATCTTGTTCTTGTTGGTTATTTTAATGTTCGTATAATTTGGAAATAACTCCATGAAGGAAAGATAAGAAATGAATAGCTCTCAGACTCAATTCCCTTTATTTTGTGTTCTATGAATGTAGTTTAATTATTCATTTAATCTATTTGAATAGTTACTTAATAGAATTATGTATATTCTTATTGTTAATAAACTAATAACGTTGTGTCCATTGTGATTGTTTTATTTCAGTATAGTCTCAGTACGACAGTTATTGTCTTAGGGTTATTTGTCATATAACCTGTTGAATACACAATTAGACACTTTCATCCTTTATTAATTGACTATACGTTAGAGTTGTGTGTTTTTTTTAGAGAGTTAGTTTTCTACAGGTTGGGGTCACTAAACCCATGCTTAACTCTCCTACTTTTATTTGAATTTGAAACTGGCAGTAGCCTCCGAAGGGGCTACAGAAGGAGTTTAATTGTTAATACAGTGTTCAGTAAAAGTTAGGTGATGTTATCAAGATTGATTATGATTTGTTCCATGATTTTTATGTTCCCATTAGGCAATATATACTCAATTATTTCATTCAAATCTTGATCTTTTAAAAGATCTAAACTGGAATTGTCATAATCAGCTTTACACATGACTAAGATGATTTGATTAAAGAGTTGATATCTGCATGTATTCAATACTGTTGATGGATAAGAATTCAACGTTGCACATTGTGTAGTCAACAACAACACCAGTTGGGACAATCAAATGTATACGAGCGCAAAATTACAGACCATCACACTAAAATGTGACAACCATACAATAAACAGTTAATTTGTAAACTATCAATCTATTGTCTTAATCTTTCGATGGTGTTAATTTATAACTTCAACCAATTCACGAAGTTGAGCAACCGTTCACTAATTGTTTTCAGTGAGTTCCTATCTCACAACAGAAGTGATTTGAACTTCACTGGTCACTGCTTCTCACTAGAACCCCAGGAAGTACCTCTTGAAGTCAGTCACTAGTGAGCACATGATTACTATTAACAGAAGTGGTTTGGTAGAGATTTCAGTATTTTTATTGTGTAGTGAACAACAACACGAGCTAGGAAAATCGAATGTATTCAAGCGCAAAATTACAGGCCATCACACTAAAATCTGACAACCATACAGCAAACAGTTAATTTACAAACTATCAATCAATTATCTAAATCTTGACCGTTCCTTCTGCAACTATCAGTCCATCGTTTCTGATTATTATTGTTTATGCTTTTTCCTACCAATTGCGACCCGTTACCGTTCTCTCCTTATCGATCTTCTAATGAAATACATTTGTAGTAACCGGCTTGTCTCGACAAGAACACGATTGGAATAATAAAACCAATTATTATTATTGTAATCAATTGTACCAGCGATTGTTTTACTTTACTTGTTTAACTGCATCAAACTCACTTTGTTTGGTTTGAACTTTCTTACGCTCTGCCCATTTTGCCTGTACTCGTTGGCACGTCTCGGTATTCTTTCGATACCACGAGATCGCCAATAAATATACTTTATGTGGACTGATTAAAGCCTTCTGGTTTACGAGTTATCAAAGGAACCAAGTCGTTTATGGGCGTGTAATTGAATTGTAGTGATGATCATAGTCCATCCTTCGACTCGACACCCTACTACACATTCAATGTCCGATCATCATTATATACTACTTATGTGGATATAAGTAACCCACATCACAATTGAATTTCAGCTTTATGAGACATTGATGATGTGTTTAGTCACCATGATTTTTCGAAAGTGTTCTATCAAGCTGATTTTAAAAAATGTTTGTCTATAGATTCCAAAAGATAAACTTTAGTCAGTTTTGACGACTGGCATTCTTTGCGGTCTATTGAAAATTTGGTTTATGTAGTTTGCCAGTCATACTACAGAAAGGGATGAAGATCACAGCCAGTGAACTTACAAGTGTTGAGTTTTGCGAAGAAGATGTCAGTATTTGTGTAAAGCAGGAAATATCGTTTGACCAGAGACTTATTGCTGTCTTGTGTCATCTGCTTGAGATAAAATATGTCATAAATCAAAGAAGTAGTTCATTGGGTGTATTTGATTTTTGAAAGTCTAGGATACTTTATTAACGGTCATTAATTTGAAATTGACATAATGCGACTAGCTACACTTGTAGACGCTCTTCATCATCGTTACGGTTTATTTTCTGTTTTCTTTAACGTGTCAACTCCATTTTTAATTTTAACATTCAACTCCATTTTATGGGATGTTCGACAAGAGTTGTGTTTTTTAAATTTATTGAAAATTCTTTATAGTGATTGCGTACCTTCAACTTACTAACCTATTGTACATTCTGTTATTATTACCTTGGATGTTGGTGTGGTTCCGACGGAATAATCGATACTTTAGATGTATACCAAGGGGTATCGACTAACGCTGAAATCCTAATCTGAAACGTGAATTTCCGGTCTATTTTGCCAAGTGTCATTGATTGTTTACAAGTTATGATATAATGTCGGTCTAAGTGATTATGCCGTTATTTCTTCTTTGTTAAATGAATTTGTTTTCGAAAATCCCCGTACAGAACATTCTAGTCTTGGGACAAATAAAACTGACAAGGTTCACATTTTGATGCCGGTGATCTATTCAAACATGTCGCACAGCGAATAATTGTGGAAGATGTTATTATTCGAAAAACCATCCTTCTGTAAGGACGGCTCGTTGGTAAACTCTAAGAAGCTTTAAGAAGCCCAGAAAGAGCCGCAGACATTCCATCCAATCACTGCTAGGGGAATATTCTAGAATGTCGACGTTTAGCTTCCCGATTGGATGGATATTATTGACCCCTATGTGCCTATTGTTTGACCGAAATGATGATTTACATTCAGCCAATAACTATAAATACATAAGATTTCTGTACTATATTTTGACACTGTTTTGGGGAATAAAGTTCCTACTTACTAGTCTTCTGTTTTCTCTATTGTGACGTTACGGGTTCTATTGTTCAAGTAGTCTGTAGTACGCGGCATAGTAAGGATCAAAGCTCTAGATATAACGCCTTCAAAATAGATTCCATAGTCAGTGTCATTTTAGGCATGTGAGAGAATTCATTTAAACTGTTGTTGTCCGTTTCTCGACAAATACTACGCACATGTAATCACTGATTATCCAAGGTGACTAGAGTATTTTCTATAATTGATGATTTCTTTTGCATACTACTGCTCGCTGACTGATTTGAATTCCAAATACAATACATCCAGATATAATAATCATCCATTTTCCTTGATTTTGTACTGGAACATACAGAACTATGAGAATGTAAATCAGTCCTTTAATGTGCTAATAGTCAGTATTCTAAATTCCATTACTTGTCACCATCACATGCAAGCACTCACAGCGAATTCACACAGAATAATACAAAACTGAATGTTATCCACATATATACGTAACAGATATCTCTGTGTATGAAATGATGCACAGTTCTTACTAATCATTGGTCTTCTCTAACTGTCAAATACCCTTCAAATACTGATAATCCACTGTGGTGACGTTAATCTTTTCTTATGCAACCAATGATCAAAATTATATTGAAATCATTTTTGCTTTACAATTAAGGCTTCAATACCAATGAATGCCATCGACAAATGTCAGTATGAGGAATAAGCAAAAGAAAAATGATTAACAGCAAAAGAAAGTCAATTATGCAAAGTTTTGTTGAATCGGGGGTGCATAAATCTTCAAGGTTTATTGTGGCCCATCACGTTTTGACGAATTTTAGTCCTTGTATGGTAGTTATTCGAAGCACTTTCAGGAATAAAAAATCGAATTTGAATGAGCTGAACTTACTTACTTACTTACTTACTTACGCCTGCTACCTCTCGTGGAGGAGCATAGGCCGCCCACCAGTATTCTCCATCCAACTCTGTCCTGGGCTGAAAGTAAATCTAAAATTATTTGCTTGTGAAACTAATGTCAAATTTGTTATTAGGTCTTCACCAAATGAAAATAGACTCTCATACATTAAGTCTGACAACACTTACCGTCGAGAAGTATTCAGTGCATAGGAATGCTTTTACGTTATAACAGTTCACTATTGGAGATTGTTTCAGTTTTGTAGACGATAACTAAAGTTCTTATGAATGTTTCTTTTTTGATGGAGTTTTGTCCTCTGGGTTGGATGGTTTGGTAGTGGAGCGTTCCTCTTTCCTCAGCACAAAATTCGGGTAGAATGCTCCTATTTCATTTTTGCAGTAATAAGATGATTCAATTTTGTCCAGTGTAGTTCATTTCATAGAATAGCGAGTATGAGGAGAAAGGTTCTGTTTGCAGAATGCCACTTACAGTTAAATACTAACGATAAATAGAACAAAACAGTAATAAACTCGTTCTTTTGAACTAATCGGACTATTCATATAAATCTTTACAAATACATATGTATCAAAGAAACCAACAAACTTGGTCGATCCACCAATTTGTCTGGACATCTATACCTACAAACAATGGGCGACTTGTTGAAAGAACACTGTCAAAATCAACTGAATAGACCACATTTGACTGT